CGCTTACATTAAAAATGAATCGGCATATTAATTATCAGTATTTACAGATATCAAGTTTGTGAATATAATCTATATGTAAGTAATGAGCATGTTATACGATTGCAAGTAATGTCTGCCACTTATAATAAGGCCACTGGAAATTAACCTAGTAAGACACCGACCATATAAAGGACACACAGAATAAATTTGATATAACCTATTATATCATTGCTCAAAAGTATTATGGAGTTATTAACTGCCACAAACCTATACCGATTCTTAACTTAAAGCCCTTTAGATAAAACAGGAGCCGTTACTTTCATTATGACAACCCTTATTGTTCAAACGTAGACTATACTTTCAATATTGTTATTTTTCATGTTATTTCCTCTGATCCTTTGATCTTTATGTGATTTTATTGTTGCCTAACATTCTGTAAACCATAACTGATATTAATGTCGTAAAATTTCTGTTCACATTTAAAAATAACTTCGTGGGAAAAAAATGAGACAGATAAGTGTTTGTCAACCATGCAATTCACTGAGGAAACTGCTGTCCTTTCAAGTCCATTGTGAATAAGAACGTACTAAAGAAGTTATTGTTACAAATTATTTACGCTTTAAAACTAGTCACAGAGATGTTTTTTTAAACAGATGAGCGATCTCCCATGGATGCATTCTTAAGCAAACGCCGCTCGGTGTAATGAAACGTGCAAATAACCGACAATGTAAAGAAAAACAAAAATACATTTGATGAGAAAAAGAAATAACGTAATTTCTTCAACTTTAAAAAAAGAGTTATATCATACAGAAGTTTCTGCGCTTAATTCATTAACCAATATGAATAACATAATAAAAGAGTTGTAGTTTATCTTCAATAAAGATGATTTAAACATTTTTCTGTAGACTACTTTGTCTGTATTATTACCGATAATTCGTTTTATCTTTTTTTGACAATATCATGTAATTTTGAAGATATAAAATAGTCTAGACAAACAATGAAACCTTATGGTGGCTCTTTGAAACTTTGTAGACAATAAACAAATTCTTAAAGAAGATATATCCTTAAGACATCATTTTGGAGTGTTGCAATTAAATGGAAAAGAAATAATACACACAAGATTAAGCAAGCTAGGAATGACTACAAGACACTTATAAGGAAAACCTTTATCATGTTCATTTAATTGCATAAGGTATTTGTAAGAGGGGCTTTGGAAATAAGAGATAATTATAAAGAGAATTCAGAGTAACACTTACAGTTTTGCTTCAATTAGAAACAAGACGAGAGGGCCATGATGTCCCTGAGTCGCCCACCAGAAACAACTGCTTTTCAGCGTTGGAATGTAAATATATTCTAATATTAAATTTGAGCATAGAATATGTTTAAACAATAATTTGAAGAAATGCCATGACCTGGGGTATTTAAGCTTTAGCTTAAACGGGGCTAATCAAATTAATATGAGCAAACTTGATAAAACACTACCCAAGAATGCTACAGACAAAGTTTTGTGATCATCCATCAATTAGTTCTGTAGGAGAAGATGTTTAAAGGTTTTTCTATTTTTAGTCCTAGAGACCCCTAAAAGAGGTCAATCAGAATAATATTAGCAAATAATATTAGCAAACTTGATAAAAGACTACTTAAGAATGCTACAGACAAAGTTTGGTGATCATCCATCAATTAGTTCTGTAGAAATAGACGTTTAAAGGTTTTTCTATTTTTAGCTTTAGCGGCCCCTAAAAGGGGCCAATCAAATTCATATGAGCAAACTTGATAAAAGACTAACTACAGACAAAGTTTGGTGATCATCCATTCATTTGTTCTGTGGAAGAAGATGTTTAAAGGTTTTTCTATTTTTAGCTCTGCTGACCCCTATAAGGGACCAATTGGAATGACATGAGCAAATTCTAGTGTGACTGTCACAAGGATGCTAAAGACCAAATTTGAAGTAAATCTGCTTAGTAGTTTAAGAGAAGAAGACGATTGTTGACGCATGACGACGGACGCCGGAGCACCCCCATTTGATACTAATAGCTCACCGTGAGCCTTCGGCTATGGTGAGCTAAAAAGGCAATGTCTTAAGCTAACAGTATGCAGTTATTATTCAGTTCCTTATCAAATTACAAACGCTCATTTGTTAAATGAAACCGCGTGCGTCGGCCTCGTCTTCTTTTCTTATGAAGGGATTCATATTTACTTTGCAACAGATTTTCACGAATAAAAACAATCAGCATGAATGATTTTTCGCAACTCAATAATGCGATATTCTATATGGCAAAACCTCCGCTTTGTCTAGATGAAAATACACAATGAATAAAATTTTTATATATAACAATTTCTTAGCATACATTTATAACAGAAAGGTAAAGAAATTTGCATGTGTTTAAAACAAATAAAGGCGATCCAAGGCCCGGCTCTAATCAACGTTCTCAAAGTCAAAAGCGCAGCTCAAATCTGAATTTGTTTTAACTCAGAAATTATGGTTGACATTTTCTCAGTTTGGCTTTCACTAAAAAATATTGAGAAAAATCTCAACTTATGATTTGAGATTTTTCTCAGATATATTGAGACAATGTTCTGCTGTCTCAGAATATGTCTCAGTGAAGCAAAATAATAATTCTCAGAGGTATTTTTACTTTCTGCATACTCTTTTTTGATAAATAAACATTATTTGTCATTTTTTGGCCAATTAAGTTTCTATTTATTTCATATATTAAGTAATATATTGACTGAATATTGTGGGTGACATCATGCGCTCTAATTTATGACGTCATAATATTCATACTAAAAAAATGTATCAAATTTTGTTTCATTTTCTTTAAAAAGGCTGTTTGCAAAAAAAATTATGTACATTGATTATAAATACATTTTTTTCATTAGCATTCAAATATTCATACATTTGCAATTGCTTCTTAGTGCTTTTTATTTATTTATTATTGTTTTGCAAAATAAAACAAGAACAATTTGCATGTAATCGTAACGTAATAAACATACACAACATTGGGTCATCTTACATCAAAATAGCAACTACAATGTATATACTTCGTAACAAATACTTAAGTCATAGAAGCCCATCAACAATGCACACTAAAATTGAAGTTTTAAGATAAGCCGCATATGTCTTGATAACAAAATAGTTTCAGTTGAGAAAATTTTTAGTGAAAGCCAATTTGAGATTTTCTTAAGTGAGTAAGAATTTCAGTCAATAATGAGACAATCTTAAGTTGAGTTTGAGAAAGTTAGTGAAAGCCGGTATTCTTTTGACATTCGTTTATATTGGTAAGGAATTAGTTCTAATTATTTGATACTCTTTCATATTGGTAGCAAATTAGTTCCAATTTGTACAACCGTAAACGCTTTATAAATAATTCAAATAAATTTGATTGTTTAATATATTGAGTCACATTTGAAAAGCAAATTGAACACAACATTTCAAAACCCTCATAATAATCTTAAAAAAGTGCACTGTTTATCATAGTTTATTAGCATTAATAGTACCGGGATATCTATGTATGGTTTTACGTTCACAATGTTTAAATGTTGATGGAACTTTATTATGTAATTATAAAGAGCGTTTACAAACGTATAAATCAAATGTTTTACCTTGCTGAAGATCGACTGGGTTAATGTTATTATTAATTATTTGGTTTATCAAACAGATAATACGTTACACAAGACTTTCAATTAAAATATTGAATAGTAACGAAGATCGTGAAATAATCGTTTGCTTCGAAACATTTTAAGTTTATAGTTTGCATTTATTGATTTGAATCGTCATTGACCTTTACAAAAGACCTCTTTAAACTTACGTTCACTCCTAATTGAAATTGAAACTACAATTTTGATGTAACTTTGTAATGAGCTATTTAAAGTCCAATGGTATCGGTTATTGGTTTGGAACTTTATTGCAGAAAAATATACTGGGACATTCATTTGTTAGAAATGATATAATTTGGATTACGGATATAGAAATTATGCAAAGGTTGTAAATGTCGCATAACGGAGAAAGAACTCACGGATGTTACATACTTTTAATATACAAATACAAATACACAAGTGTACAAGTGAAATACCAAATTCGAACTCCTCCAACTGAACATTTGAGAATAGTATGACAACCTCTCATAATGAGCATTGTTTATAATGTATATAAATACACACGTTTTAGAGTTACATGTAGAACTCTCATTAATCATTTTGACATGTCATTGCTACCAAGCCCAGTCTGCACACACCCCGTACTATAATATTCATAAATCAACGTCATGTTCCACAGTTCACACTACGAAATAAAAACCTTAATGTCATATCCGGTCAGAGATGTCCGGTCAGAGATATTATCTAACGACCTTTAATCACCTAAGGTCATTTCCGGTCAGAGATGTTATCTATCTCTCTGATTGGTCAATTGATTTTCGTGTGTAACCTTTTCATTTTCATTTAAATAGAGAAATTTGGATTGGCAGTACAGGTAAAAAAATAACTTTACTTTTGATATTAATTTTTAAAAGTTTTGAATAAGTAAAATAGTAATTATTGTTAAATATTAAGATAATCTTTATGAAAAAAAAAATGCTTTATATTGAATCGATTGAGAAATAAACATTCGACATTGTTATCAGTTAATGTAATTGTTATTCTACAAAAATAATATATTAAAGTAACATAAGTTAAATATTATAGCTTAATAGGTTTTTCAATAAATATTAGATTTCCTTTATTTCATCATAAAAAAGAGAGAGAAAAAGTTAATTTCTATAGATCTAGTAAACATTACAAAGAACAAAATATTTTAAGAATATTAATTAGAAAAACTTTAAGGTATAAAATTTAACAGAATTATTTGTAGAAAAGATATTTATATACGAAAAAGTTTAAAAAATATTATAAACAATTGATAATTGATGAAATGTATACTTTTTCATTTCTTGTTAAAACGTTCATTGTGCATGCGCATTGAACACTTCCTGTGACGTATATTTTGTAACAGGTACTCGCTGTGTTTGAAATCAGTATGGCTTGTCGCCGTGACGTGTCGGGAATTTCAAATCGTTGGTATGTAGCTTTCTAAAGTATTATTTTAAATTGACACTCATAATTGTTCATAAATGTTTGATGTTCTTGAAGATTCTTTTAAATTGATATATATGTATTTTATATGTGTAAACGTAGACTTTATACACAAGTTGATAAAGTTATATTCGATTATTTATCAGCACATCTGTAAACACTGTTCTTGTTGTTTCGTCGTTGTAAAATGAATGTCTTGTATTGAACAATACAACAAAGTGATGATAGATCTATAATTCTTCATTTATGTAGCACTGTTTTTGAGTAAAAGATAATTAAATTAACAGTTTGCTGTTGCACGATTCTCGCAAATGTTCATGTGATATTTATTTTGGATATCTTTGTCTCGCACAATTAGTTATTTTTATATGAAGTTGTCATCAGTATTTCTCTGTTTTTTTAAAGTTTATATAACACATAGAAAAACACATTTTATTGATAACGGAAGTTTTCGGCTTTTCAGGTTGAAGACAGGAACAAAAGTTTATTTGATTCCACGTTTTGGTGTTGTTGTTGTTGGCGGCTGTGACAGCATAGTTATACATTTTAAACATCGTAGACGCTTATTTCATATAAGTTTACATCGAAGAAGGTGTTTATGGTTATATCGACATGGTTTTACATCGAAGAAGGTGTGTGTTCATGGTTTTATGTACATAGTTTGACATCGTAGACTGTTGACATCGTAGACTGTTTACATCGTAGACTGTTTACATCGTAGACTGTTGACATCGTAGACTGTTGACATCGTAGACTGTTTACCACGTAGACTGTTGACATCGTAGAGGCTGACTGTAATAGTGTCTAGTCAGACGGTGTTTTACTGTGCCGGCGAATTCGCTCGCACCTCTCTGTCTTGGCTAGACGACAAGTGATCGTTAGACCAATATTTTGCATTTCCATCCGTTGTCAGATCGGTTAATAGATATTATATACAATAAACATAATTTTGTTTCAGATATATGAATAAACAAGACAACTGTCATAAAATGCATAGGATAAGAATTCCAATGAAAGATGTTCTTTAGTGTAAGTATCTTATCAATTATGTAATACTTGATATTTAATATTTTACTTTTCATATTGAATTTTTAAACATATTTTGTTTGTTTTAACAAATGAACTTTAGTTTATTTCGACAATAAGACTTATCCCAATTTAAACTTTATTTAATGATTGTGCATTGACAGTTGAAACATGTAGCACATGTTATTCTAATCTGAAATAAAGTAAATAATCAATTTGAAACTCATGATTAAGTGCTGTCCTTAACTTAAAAATTCATTTTAATTAACCGATCTATTAATAAACATATAGCGAGATCATTTTAAGCAATAAAAAAATCAAAGATATATATTATAACAAAAACATCTTGAAAATTAATATAAATGAATACAACCACCAAATATATAAAGATATATAATTAAAGTAATGTAATTTTCTGTTTTCTTTTATATTTGTTTCTTTTTACGTATATATGTTTTCTATAATAACTATTTACAATGCCTGAGGTCATTTTACCGAAAATTAGTATAGCATATAACACGGAATATAACGTTCTATAACAATTCAGCTAATCCTTGTAAAATCATTTTAAAACTTGATTTCGACCATTTATCTTTACTATGTAACTTTGTGTTTACCTTACCAGATACTTTATATCGTGGTTTTACAATACTTTTCTTTTTAGTAGAAATAGAGTTTATAAACATTTCATTATCTGAATCATTATCATCAGCCATTGAAACTGACTGAATAGCATTATATGCTGCTTGTGACTGAGGATTGCTATTTACTTGTAGGGAATTTGAGTCTGATAATTCTGAATCAGTCTGCAATTGCATTTCTTCTGAATGTGCATTACTTTGATTATTTTCATTATTTGAAATTTGTTGTTGTTGTCGAAAATGTTTCTGTTATTCAGCTAATGGAATGTCATCTTCACTACCAGAATTTGACCTTTCTTTCCTAACATTCTTAGCAAGTATCGCTATTTTCAGGTGTAACTACAAATGTGGCATTTCTTTTTGGCGGCCAGTATTTTCTGCTTTAGGTATTGACCAGTCATTAATATTTGCGAGCCTAATTTGTTCTGCATGGACTTTAACTGTTGAATTGTCAAGCTGATTTTTTATTATATAAGTTAATGGTGTCCATAATTCTATAAAATGGTTTCCAGTTCACATCTAGTTTGCTTCTTTTACGAAAATTCTTATAGAATACGGGATCGCCTATTTCAAATTTGATATCTTTTGCGGTCTTATCTGCATAGCTAGCTTGTTCGCGTTTTGCTTTTTTAAGGTTCTTATAAACAGACAGAAAAGTATTATGTTGTTCTTGTAAAGCAATTTTGTGATATTCTTCGCCATGATAGCGCTGCCTTGGTTGTAGCAACAGGTCCACCGGGAGAATTGGATCACGGTTATATAACAAATAAAATGGACTATGCTTTGAAGTCCTAGAGACATTGAATCTAAGTGCGGCTAGTGTCATGTTAAGATGAATATCCCATTGTTTGAGATTTTCCTGGATTCTTTTAGCTAAGATATCATGTATAACATGGTGAGAACGTTCATTTTTCGCGTTTCTGGCAGCATGATAGGTAGTTGTACGCACATGATCAATTTTTAACTCTTTAAGTGTTTCTTTGAAAGCATTACTTGTAAATTCTGATCCATTGTCAGTGACAATTTGTAATGGACATGCATATCTAGGGTAAATGTCTTCTAATAGTAAATGTATAATTGTATCAGTACTTTTGTCAGCAGTAGGGAAACACTCGGGATAACCACTGTAAAGGTCAATAAAACAAATAATGTAGCGGTTACCACTTATTGTTTTTTCATAGGGTCCTATAACGTCGATACTCATTGTCTGAAATGAATACATTGGTATTCTTGTCTCGCCCATAGGTGCTTTTATTTTTGTAAGATTACGTGACTGACAATCAACACATTTAGAAACATATTCATACAATTCTTTGAACATATTTGGCCAAAAGTATTTTTGTTTTATTGTTGTAAATAACCTCTGTGTTCCTGGGTGACCATTATTTAAATGATATTGAGTAATGACAAGGTGTTTTAAGTGTTGCGGAACAAACAATCTAAGGTTAGGATTATCATCTACATTAGACATATAATAAAGAACTTGGTCAATTTCTAAATATTTGCTCTGTACTGATTTAGTTGGCTGTCCGTGACGTAGTAACATTTTCAGTTCAAGAATAGTTTGATCTTTATCTTGCTCTGAAGCCATATTTAATTTTTCTAATTGTTTAATATCTTCTACAATTGGCTCTTGAAATTGGTATTTTTTTGTTTGCTATTTCTTTGGCATTAAGATGCGTAGAATCAAAAGCATTTACTTCATAGCTTTCATCAGTTTTCACAGCATGTACATTATCATTATTTGAATTATTACTTGAATTTGAGACTGTTATCTCGAAGGCATTGTCATTAATATCAGGCTCATAGAGTTCAATATCGGACTTGTTAGCATTTTTATCATCAGCTGGAGGTCTAGAAAAGAAATCGGCAATTAAATTTAATTTTCCGGGCAAATATTCAATTTTACAGTTATAGGCAGAAATATTTAAAGCCCAAAGCTGAATTCTTTTGTTTTGCATAGGTGCTTCTAGAAGATATTTTAAAGGTTTATGGTCTGTAAATATAGTAAACTCTGCATTATGTAAATAAACATCTAATTTTTGTAACGCATAATGAATACTGAATGCTTCTTTTTCTATGGTACTGTACTTTCTTTGAAATTCACTTAATTTATGAGATAAGAAGTATATAGGTTTTTCAATACCAGATTTGTCACATTTCTGACTTAAACATGCTCCGACCACTAAATCTGAGGAGTCCGTGTATAGAATATAAGGCTTATTTGGGTCTGGGAATGCTAAAAGTGGAATACGTGTTAACATTTTCTTTAATTGTTCAAAACTTTCTTGACATTCTTTTGTCCATTTAAACAAAACACGTTTTCTTGTAAGATTGATTAGAGGTTCAACAATTTTAGAATATTTAGGGCAAAATCTTCTATAAAAACCAGCAGCACCAAGTAAAGATCTGACATCTTTAACACATTTTGGTACCGGAAGTGACCTAATAGCTTTTACTTTTTCTGGGTCTGGTTTTATACCTTCATGATCAATTATAAAACCAAGGTACTTTGTTTGTTGCTGAATAAAACTGCACTTTTTCAGTTTAAGTTTTAATTTATGCTCTTTAAGCTCTGAAAATACTGTCTGTATATGTGATAAATGTTCATTTAATGACTTCGAAAATATCAGAATGTCGTCAAGATAACTGACAGCAAATGTCCTTTGAATGTCGTAAAAGCCGTTTTTTCCTTGTCTAATTCATGTACGGGTATCTGCCAAAAACCTGAACACATGTCTAGTGTTGTAAAATATTTTGAAGACCCTAGTAGTGTTAAATATCATCAATTAATGGGAGAGGATATGATGTTGGCTTTGTAATTTTATTCAATTGTCTAAAATCAACACAAAACCGTTTACTGCCGTCACGTTTCCCGACAATAACAACAGGAAATGAATAAGGGCTATGACTTCTTCTTATAATATTAGCATCTAACATCTCATCGATTGCGTCACTCATAAATTTTCTATTGTTTAAAGGTGTGCGATATGGGCGTAATTTGATTGGAGGATGATTACCTGTTGGTATTTTCATGGTTACCGTATCTGTTTGTGATAATTCAGAATCTTTATTTGCGAAAATATTTCTATTTTTCTTAATAAGTCTCTAACAATATTAAAATGCTCTGAAGGTGTATGAATATCACGTTCGAAATCGTTGTTAAGAGGGGAAGTCGTTTGAAGAGCCTCTGTAACCGAGTTAATGCTCTCAACTTCTGAAACTTTAGCAACTACTGAATCTCGTTTCAATCTTATAGTTTTATGTGTATTGGTGACAATCATAATAGGAAATCTTCTATCAGCCGAAAGTTTCATAACAGAATTTGTTATCATAAGACCTGGTTCAGAAGCAATCATTCCAGTTTCTATACTTTTTAATTCATATAATTTATCATTTTCCAAGCCTGGATTTTGTTTTAACTTAGCAGTGCACACATTAACTGTTTGAGGTTTCAGAATAACATCCTGTTTTAATCTAACAATTGATGCAATATGAATATCTTCTTCGAGGGCTACATATGTATTATTAACTCTTAAGCAGCCTAAATCAAAATATAATCTAACGCCATTTTGTGTTAACCAATCACGGCCTAAAATAATATTTCTATTCATTTTAGAAACAACATAGAATTTTTGAGTTGTTTCTGTTTTCCCTATTTGAAAAGTAAGATTTATATAACCATCTATATGTAAATAATTTCCGTCAACTGAACATAAATTTATTTTCTGTTTTATAAGTTGAGGAGGATTCTTCAATTTTCTATATATTCTGCGATGCAGAAGACAAACTTCAGCACCTGAATCTACTAACGATCTGTATTTATAGTTTTCTATTTTAATCAAACATGAATTAGGGCTTCCAGCCAATGCTATACTAAATTTTGGTATTTTATCGTTCCTGTCAGTGACCCCTTTGTGACAGGAACTTGCTAGTTTTCCTGAAAATTTGTTTCTGTCGTAAAAATTTTGTTTACGACATTCCCGCATAGTATGTCCAAAATTGTTACATTTCCAGCACTTAATCTTTGATTTCAAACTATTATTGCTATTATTTTTCCTAAAACGTGAAAAATTTTGACGGTGAAATACAGAATATATTTCATTTTTCCTAAATCTACAATTACGCACATGATGACCTGGCCTCTTACAGTACACACAAAAATTTCTTGTATAATAATGATTAAAATTATTTGCTTTGTAATTATTGTATTTTGGGTGATTTGAGAATTAGAAAATTTTACTCTGGCAGAAAATCTAGCTCTGAAATTCTGTTCATTCATTGCGCAAGTAATTGCTTCTTGTAAAGTTTTTGGCTTTTCTCTCATAAGTTTAAGTTTTAAATAATTATGCGCTAAATTATCCGTAAACAATTCCACTAACTGAAGTTCAATTAAACTATTATCTCCTAGTTTATAATTTTCATAAGCGGTTTCAGCACAACACTTTCTCCAAAATCTTGTTTTAAATTTCTCAAAAGATAAAATTCATGATGTAAATCTTTAATTTCCCCAAATCTAGTACTTATTTCTTCTCTTAATTGTTCCCACGAATTACGAGGATTATCACGCAAATATCTACATATAAAATCGCTTACAGTCCCTTTACTTGATTGAAATGCAACTAATTTTATTTTATTATCATCCAAACCTTTTAAAACAGCATATTTTTCTACAGATTTTATCCAGTCATTAAAATATTTAGAATTTCCATCAAAATTTTGTACTATTTCTGATAAACCCTGTGTACCTATGACAGTTGAACTATTATCCAATTTATCTGACAAATTTTCAAAAATTGTAGCTATTTCTTGATCTGACATCTTCAAAATTAGCAAACTATAGGTATATAAACGATCACTCACCTTTAATTTTCTGTTTCAGGTACTTCGTTGTGTCCCGCTGTATAAAATCGTCGCTTCGACATCGCTGGTCTTAGGCGCCAAATCAACCGTTGTCGCATAACGGAGAAAGAACTCACGGATGTTACATACTTTTAATATACAAATACAAATACACAAGTGTACAAGTGAAATACCAAATTCGAACTCCTCCAACTGAACATTTGAGAATAGTATGACAACCTCTCATAATGACATTTTATAATGTATATAAATACACACGTTTTAGAGTTACATGTAGAACTCTCATTAATCATTTTGACATGTCATTGCTACCAAGCCCAGTCTGCACGCACCCCGTACTATAATATTCATAAATCAACGTCATGTTCCACAGTTCACACTACGAAATAAAAACCTTAATATATGTATATACATGTTGACTTGTCATTTATATTAATATGATGTGTAAACAGTAAAATACGCTACGTTTAATACAATTGAAACAAGAAAAGCATTGATGCAAAGCATCAAAGGGCGTCCAAGCAAGAAATAAGAAAGTGAAGATGAACTAGTAGACATATGATGTCAAGATATTCTTATAAACTTTTCAATGGTTAATTGGTTTTTACCAAAATGAACGGACGGAAGACATTGTTCATTATGAACTTTGATTGGCAACGGATATACATGTATACAATCATTTATCATCCATACCCATGTGTAACGCATGATCAACACCACACTTGTGGAATTGTCCCTTATTATGTATTCGCTATTAGCGAAGACCCCCTCTTAAGGTATCTGTTCACACTTAGTAAAAATATGACACTGGTTATATTACCATGTCATGTTGAGCATTATTGTTTATTATACAATAATTGTAATATCTATTTTAATAACAAAAAAATTAATACAGATTTTATGAATATTGTTTTCCTCTCTCTTTTTGTGTTTTTATGTGCTATTTTAATACTGAGTTTTTTACGTTTACTATTCTTTTTTTATTAAAATTGTAAAATAAATTTTAAGAATTCAAATGTCATATTGACCGACGATTATAAATCAAAACTTTACTGGAAAAAGTCAGTAAATTATGGTTAATCTTTCAATATATAATATTATTTATTCTTAAACCATGTACATGTACATTTGTATTTTTCTTTATCATTTTTTAAATTATCATTCAAAATCAAATAATTAATAAAATCTAATTTGTTACTTTGAATAATTCACCGGCATCTTTACTAAACACGAATAACAAATAAAATAAAATGTTTCAAAGTTAATAGAGTCTTTTTTCATGCTTTCCAGTGTTTTATTGTAATATATCAGATGATTATATTCTGATAAACCACTAGTGAAATTTATAAAATATAATTTTCACTGTAGCCGGACTATATCTGAATGCGGATGAACAGAAAATCATAAATAAATGGAATAACAGGCAGAAATAAATGCCGTCATACGTAAATTTTGCTTCTTTAGAAAAAGAAAGTCAATGTCATCATACATCATGTTAGAAATTTAACAAAATTAGAGAAATTTAACGGAACTAGTTTTCAAAACTGATGATGTGACGTCATGATATAATGACGTCACAAAGGAGAATGCGCGACGTTACGCGGCAAAATCAGTAAAAAATTACTTAAAATCACTTAAAAAGCATAAAATAAAAAGAAAATTTATTTGTTTTACATATAAGATTGAAATATATTTCATTCGTGAACACCAGCTATTATATTTTCACTCGTGGCTACGCCACTCGTGAAATTATTGCATCTGGTGTTCACTCAGTGAAATTATATTTCAATCTTACATGCAAAACAAACAAATATCCTCTATTTATTAAAACCATAAAAATGTACCTTTTTTCACAATTATTGTACATATTTATAGTTTATATCTCGTATAGATAAAATGAAACATGCTATTGTTGTTGTTGTTGTTTTTTTCGAATTGTATGTTTATGTATAATAATAATCAATATATTTGAGAGTTGATCTATGTTTATTAATTATTGTAACCAAACTAAGTGACAAACATTCATTTTGGAAAAAAGCTTATTTATCTGTAAAATATTTGTTCTGTTCTGTAACGATATCAAACATCTACTCCAAAAACCGGGAGAGATTGGACAATAAACGTGTGATACTTTTCGCCGGTCACTAGTATCACGGTCAAAATAGACCGGGAGAGACCGGAATTACCGATAGGAGTACATCCCTCTATAAATAGATTTTCGGAATATTTAGGTCATCAACTCATCATTCTATTTTAACATACCATGATAACCCACTGTGTACTACAAAATGATAAATAAAAAACCGAAGAGACGGAAAAGGTTTTTGCATTTGAAAATGAAAAGCTTATTGCATTTGAAAATGTTTGCATTGCGAAATCCTCCAGTTCGCTATTCATTGTAACATATCGCGACATTTAATTAATAATCAAGCACCCTCATACCGATCGGACTGATCGGCTTTTATCATGACCGACTTAAAGGCTCGAGAAGTTGCTGTCGCCCTTTCACAAAATCTGATTTCGTTCCATAAAGGGGCGCCGCGCTTCGGCGCGGACGCCAATAAAACAAAAAGGTATTTCTACGGAACTTCCAACATTTGAAAATTACAGGGTCTGTATAATTGAGCATGTCAATAGACAGTAGTGACCAGTGATAACATTGCAAAACGTTACTCTTTTATACTTAAGTGCACATGTAAATTAATTGGGACTTTGAATCTTTCGGAAAAAACTATTATAATTCATTGACGTCTTTTTGATTCTGTATTTTGCATATCCTATCCTATGATTATTCATAACTTACACATTTTACTGAAAACTATTTTTGTGTCGGCGATCTTGTCAAATCTGGTTGTACTGTGTACGACTGCTTGTAAACAATTCAAACGAATAAAAATATTTTCACATAGCAACAATGGCCTACCTTGGCCGCAATTGTAAACACCTGTCCCAATATATTATAATCTTTATACGCATTTATAAAATTATTTGGCAGCTTTTTTCCATAATCTGTCAATTATAGCAAGGTATGTAAATATTGTTAAAGTATTTCAAACAAATGTATGTATTTGAAATCATGGGTACTGTCGAGTTGTATTGACCACTTGTTCAAACTTAAAGTCAAATGTTATTTTAGCCTAAACATACTTTTTAGGTGAGTCTTTTATTTTCAATTTTATGATAAGGTGTAATCTTAACATGTTTTGTAAAAAAAGTAATTCCTATAATTGACATTAAGATCAAATTACACAATGGAGGATTTATCAGCGAAAGACGATATTCTCTGAGTAATGAAGTGGAAATAGAATTAATGTTGGCTGTCGTAAATGCATGCTTATCTGATCTGAGTCTTATTCTGAAGAATAGTGTAGTAAAAGCATTCAATTATGTTTCGATTTTTCGCAACATAAGGCAAATTATGTTGTCGATTGTTGTGTTTGTTTGCAATTTAACGTGTCATTAAATTGTAACGAAAGATGAAAATGGTTTCTGTGTTCAAATAAATCTGTGACTTAATGATTAAAGCCAGTCTTACTTATTGATAGTCTTATTTATTGATTGGTTATATACCCAAATGAGTAATAAACACAATTTCAGACAATCCAATTAAAGCATGAAGGCAACTCTGTTGTGAACTGGAACTTTTGTATTTTTCTTAAAACAGAAAAAAAATTATATAAACTTTTGCCATCCCTTTTAACAAACTTCTTAATTGTTTAAAACATAAAAAGAACTGCATATTATTTAACATTATATTGCGTTGTGTATTACTAGTAAGGTCACTTTTTTCCGTACAATTTTCATTGACTTATATATGGTTGATTTATAAACGTAATACAAACGACTGTGACATTCATTATTGTTAAGCATCATTCGTAGTTCACGGATCCATGGTTGTTTTACAACCATTGTAATGTATCATTATTAATGTTTTACTCTATGAAAAATATATTATTCGTTATTCTAGATTTCATTTTTTATAAATATCCAAAGCTCACTTCTTGTCAAAATAAAAGTTTCTCAATACATATGTCTACATATATGTTAACAAACGGTGCCATTTCAGCCACCAGAAACTAAAGGGATTATGTAAATGATGCATGTTAGCCAATAATATTTGAATGCTTGCTATTATTGTAATTCCATTGGGCATTAGGCGAGTATACAATTGGTTGTTTGCTTATCTGCTTAACAATGTCATGTTTCTATGTGTTTGCATAATCATTACATTTGAAAATATGGTACCAGCCTAATGCGGCCTTTTGATACAGAGATTTGTAGAAACAAATGCGCATGTATTCTTATTTTTAAGCTATATGTTATATCGGTAAGATTTTGCATACGTTCTTTTTATATATTTTTTCTATATATGTACAGGTTAAGCAAAATAAAATATCAATTACAGAAAAGTGTTTGATCACAGACTGTTGCAATGACAGATATCAACTTATCTTTACTGCTCTATAAAGGTAGACCGGTTTCCAACATTTTTTGCAATAAATGATTATGCCATCCTTACAACTGTATAAAATAAACTTATTTTAGTTGATATTTTTCAATGATCAATAATGAGCAAGTTATAATAAACTACATTACTATGTAATGTAAAAGGATATAATCGCAAATTATTATCGCCTGCATTGAGGTGAACATCTTGAAAGCGATGGGTTATTCACATTCCAGTATAAGCATAAGCAGAATATTACTCTTTCAATTCTAAAAAGATCTACCAATGATATATTTCGGATATCAGAATAAATAAGCTCCAACTGATGTAATGTTACAAACACAAACATCAATACAGATACGTAACTATAATTATGACAATGGCGTGATATTGCGGTTACTTGAGAGTTTTCCAATACTTTATGTGCGTGAGACAATGTAAAACATTAGTTTGAAAATACGAAATGATGTAATTTTTAATTAAGTACGTATATAAAAATGTTATTTAATGACTGTTTGTTGTTCTATTTCCATACAGCTTTGTTATTGAGACTGAAAACATGAACAACAAAACAAAGACACACGCAACAGCATAAAGGCAAAAACACAAATTGTGAAGAATAACGATATTTTGCCTTTAGAGTACTGTCTGTTCTCATTTAGACATAATTTTGTAAAAAATGAGATAGATTAGTGTTTGGCATCCAAGCAATTCCCGGAAGAAATTGTGAAT